GAAATGAAAGGAAGAACCCTGTAAGTATCTGGGTTTGTTTTTTTTTCCAATATTGGAGATCATGCCCAGGGCCTCATTCATGCTAGGCAAACACTTAACCAATGAGCTATATATCCTCAGCCCCTACAAGTATCATTTTTAATGGTGAAATTTGAAAGAATTTCCTTTGACATAAGGAACAAGAAGAAGAAGAAACAAACAATGCCAAATGTAGTAGTACACACCTGTAGTCCCAACTCTGTAAGAGGCTGAAGCAGGAGGATTGCTTGAGCACACAGGTTAGAGACTAACTTGGGCAACAAAGTGAGACCAGTCTTTAAAAAAAAAAAAAAAAAAAACAAGCAAGTAGACAACATATTTTTAGGGCTTTCCAAATAATTCTGAAATTAAAGTGTCAAAGAAATACACATAATTGCAAAAAACACATCATTGACTGGGAGACCTATTCACACTGTATTTGTAAGTAAAAAGGATGAGTTGGAAAAACAAAAACAACATTTATCCCAAGATAAGCACTTCAAAAACAACAATGAATGTAATGAATGTGTCTGTCAAGGAGAAGAAATTCATTCCATTTCATCTAGCATCAAAGTATCCTCCCTTGACTCCCAACACACACATGCATACAAGGTAGACATTTTCCTTCTAAACTGTAAGGCTCCAGCTCACGTGAAAACAAAATGGTTTAAGCGCACACAAGATTCAGCACTCAGGCTTGTAGTTTCCACATGCTGCCCACAGCACTTTGTGAGCATGTGATTAGGAGGAATGGTGCACAATCACACCGCATTCTTTCCCTCAGCTCACACATCAAGAACTTGCTCTCTCAGCTGCATTCTTCTCCAAACAGCCATGGTCACCTTAGCAACCCTATGCTCCTAATATGGACAGCTGGTCCATTTAAAGTCAGTCCTTCTTGGCAAGGAAAATGCTTGTTCTTCAAACTGGGAGAGAGAGGAGGTTTTCTTTTCAGTACACATTATAGGGGTTGATTTAACTTGATCAGCACTTTTGTTCTGTGATAGCAATTTATGTGGAGTTTCAACCTATTCTGAGGTGTTTTTTTTTAATCTACAAGCAAATAGCTGCAAAAAATAAAGCCAGCTCATGATACTCTAAAAGTGCAACATGAAACACAAAGTATCTAAAATAATTGTTTTTTAATGAAACTATAAAACTATCCACATTTTTTAGAATAAAGGTCTTTTAAATTGAACTATAGCACCCAAAACCTTAATAAATAACAAGAAATCTGAATTAGAAGACCTGTGTCTTTTTAGTATTATAGCCTATTTTTGAACCTCAGAAACACTGTTAAGGAAGGTTTAGCTTAGTAGAGCTCTTGCCTACCACGTGCAAAACTCTGAGTTGGATTTCCAGTGCTACCCCCATGCCAAAACAAAACTAAAAAAAAGTCAAAAGTTTTTGGACTTCCAACCAAGTGTCTCTTAAATACTCAAGTGTTCATATATTATAAAAACTATTTCTTTCAAAAAGTCTTAACCTTGGCAGTATTTCAGCAGATATGTGAATTCCCTCCCTGCTATGGTTTAAATGTGTCCCCTCCAAACTTCGGGTGCTGTAACTTAATGGTCAGTATGATTATATGGTAGGACTTTTAAGAGGCGGTTAGGTCATGGGGCTCTTCCTTATGTGAATGGATTAAGACCCATGAAAAAGAATCTTCATAGAGCCCTATCTCCTACCTTCTACATGTAACATAGCATTCCTCCTCTCTGGAGGATGCAATCCTTTCCAGACTACCAAATCTGCCAGCACCTTGATCTTGGAATTCCCAGCATCCAGAACTGTGAAAAATAAATTTCTGTTCCTTATAAGTTACTCAGTATGTGGTATTTTGTAACAACAAAACAAACTAAGACATTCTTCCTTTCTTATTCCCCTATGGGTCATTTCCTAGCATCCAGAACAAAGCTCCTCTAATTCCCTTCTCCTACATTAAGAAACCACTCTCAACAACATACCTTTAGGTTTCTTTTACCAATATCAGCCCCTCTCAAACCTGCTCAGTGCTATCATTACCCTCTGCTTAATGTCAGGGACAAATCCCATTCTCTCACAAGAGTCCCTCCCTCTCTCTCCGTTTCACTGCTATGGGGAACACCATCATCGTGAACTTGAACCTTCTAAGGTTTCCATGCTGTCAGTTTCTAGTTCAAGGATAAAGGAGAAGTTGCTCATCATAAAACTGTACTACTGTAGATGAAATTGTGTTCTGAATCTCACATTTACAACTCTGCATTTGCACTGGTAATTACTCAGTTCTTACTCTCTGTTAGCTTTAGCAATGGAGGTTCACAGAACAGGTTCTGCTTCAAGGAAGCAGTAGAAAAGTAAGATTAATGTTAAAATACAACGCAATGTAGAAATTAATAAGTAACAGATAACAGGAAGGTCTTACAGATCACTGGTATAACCTTTCAAATACTAAGTTTTTGTGGAGTAACACCAAAACACTGTTTCTACAGCAAAAACATGTTTGTGCTGAGGCCCACCTCCCTTTCTTTGAGCTACACTAACATACTTTTAGATAGGTAGTCCTCTAAATAGATGCTTGCGTTTGTATTTCTGCTAAACATCCACAGCATCTAACTCACCTCCTTTAATTCTAACGTAAAGAAATGAGCACAAATTGACCTTTTGATAAATGCCCATCATGCCTTATACATCTAAAAAATTTTATATTTAACAGATCCATTTTAATAAATATCAACCTGGAATGCAATGTACCAGTTTAAACAAAACAACCTAGATGAATACTCAGCAAGAAGGCCAGGACTTGGGAGGGAAAATGAAGGGGGAGTTCAGTAATTAGATTAAGACTTAACGTATAATATCTCCTGCTTTTTATATGTGTCAAATCATTTGTACTAAGGCTTGCTATGGTCAAAAAGAGTATTTAATTCTCTGTAGGCTTCTTTGATTTGGTGGTTCTGGGATTTGAACTTGGGGCCTTGTGCCTGCTAGGCACTCTACCACTTGAGCCACGTCCCAGCTCTTTTTGCTTCAACTATTTTAAAATACGGTCTCACGTGTATGCTACAGATGGCTGGACCACAAACCTCCTATTTACGCTGGAATGTAGCTGGGATGACAGGCTCACACTACCACACCCAGCTTCTACCAGTTGAGATTTGGTCTCATGAATGTTTTGCCCAGTCTGATCTCTGCCTCCCGAGCAGCTAGCATTACGAGCGCAAAGTCACTGTCCAGCATGTGGGCTTCTTAAGTTATGTCAGGCATGGTTTAAGGTAACATTTCTCTCTTTCTCGTGTTATCTTTTTAATACTCACAAAAACATACATCAGACATTAAAGGTCAATTATATGAGGAATAGATATAAAAGGAATAGAAAAATAATCTTAATGAATCAATGATGATAGGTACAATGCAAACTGAGGAATATTTTTAACTTACTACTCCTGTACTTGGGGTTAAAAACTGGTCGTGTGAGTCTTTTTTCATAATAAATACAGTAACACAAAAATTGAAACAAAATTGGGTAAAATATACTACATAGCATAAAATGTACCATTTTAACCATTTTTTAAAAGTATATACTTAGGTGCCAATGGTTCACACCTGTAATCCTAGCTCCTTAGGAGGCTAAAATGGAGAGGTTCAAGTTTCAAAGCCAGTCTGGGCAAATAGTTCTTGAATCTCCATCTCCAAAATAATCAGAGCAAAAAGGACAGAAGGTGTGGCTGAAGTGGCAGAGTGCTGCTTTGCAAGCATGAAGCCTAAGTCCAAACTCCCAGTCCCACCACCGCCAAAAAAAGTGCACACTTAGAAATGTTTTTCTATCAGTCCCTTTAACACCTTTAACTAGGCAACAGATGATACATATAAATATGAATAACATGTCCTCAATATTTTCTACACTAAAAATTAAAAAATTAAGACAGTGGTAGAATACTTTACTGCCACATGTAAGGCCCTCAGCCAGTACCAAAATAAATAAATTATTTAATTAAAATTACGGAAGCATTTGAATGTTTATAAGATAATTACTTATCAACACTCTACGGGGGAACCTTAAAAGTACCAGACACTATGATCATTGTGTATCATACATTACAGTAATATACAAGATTTAAATTTTGTTTTCCAAAAGAACAATGGCAAAGAAAAATAGATTAAGTCTGTTGAAATTTCTGGTTTTGCTTAAAGCATTGTGGTGTAGCAAAAGAAGGGTCTGGATTTCTCCTCAGCCTCCTTCAAGGAAGGAGAAATAGGAAGAAGTTTCACAAGAAAGTTGTAAAGGAAAAATCTAGGTCCCTTTATTTTAACCCTTCATTCTCCAAGACCCGGTAATGGCCTAATTAGATCTATAATAGTTCCAAAAATTTTAAAAAGATGTTTTTGAGAATATATTCATCCATTTGGACACAGGACATGTGATGCTGAAAAGGAGGAATAAGAAGAGTTATTGATTTCAATAACTTACTTTAAAAGCATTTTCAGTTGACAGGCTGAATTAATCTATAGTGATCACAACTACAACCCAACCAAAAAATTTCTTGAGAAAATTTATCATAAATAACTGCCTCTGTTTTTTGTCTGTTTGTTTGTTTTGTTTCTTTTTGTTTTAAGACAAGGTCTTGCTGGGCAGCCAAGGCTGGACTCAAACTCACAATCCTCCTGCTTATGCCTCGTAAGTGTTGGGATTACAGGCACACCCTACAACACCTAGCTTCAAAGTAATGTTTTAAAGCTGCCAAGTAATTTACTTCACCCCTTACCACAAACTGAACAAACCATTAAAAAGGTTTTACTATCTACTCATTTGGACATTGCTTCCTTCAGAAATCTAAAGAACAAAGTAATAATGTTAATGCTAATTTTGCAATTCATTATAAAGATGATAACTCAGAAATTAAAAAAAAAATACACAGTAGATATTACTTTATCTTTCATAGTCTGACAGGAAACAGTCTACCTTTTACATTTGCTTTATTATTATATTAACAATTTCTTACCTTGTGGAATTCTTTTCTGAGAAAAACACATATACCTTTGTTCCTAAAAAAATTTCAGGTAGAAAAAATTGAAATGATAGTTTCAAAACCTTGAAAGTGAAAAATTACAAATACAACATAGTACATTCAAAGTATTATGACATCTGATGTGATCAAAGCTTAAGAAACAGATTTCTTAATAATAAAAGTACTTTTAAAAATGTATTATAATATTCACCACTTTTATTATTATAAAAATATGACTTATTATTGTATTGGCTGAACAAGTAGATTTTTTTTCTTTCCAAACAGTTTTGTTAGGTGCATAATAATGTGTGACACACTTTCATATTCTAAAACATTAACAACTCAAGTAAGTTTCATTCTCTTAAGATATGATTTTCTAAGGGGGGAGGGGAGGGGGCAGGGGAGGGGGAGGAGAGGGGGAAGGGGAGGGGTGGGGAGAGAGATGACCCAGACATTGTATGCTCATATGAATTAAAAAAAAAGAAAAAAGAAAGTTCCTATCCATTCTGTGGTAATAAGAAACTCAAATGACTGCTTGACAGATGGATAAATAAAGGATAAATGAAAAAAAAAAAGATATGATTTTCTAAAGTTTAATTTTCTTAAGGTACAAGATATTTAACAATTCATCCATTTCAACAGAAGTACTTAACATATTTACAAAGTTTTGTAACCATTACCATCATCTAGTTATAGAAAATTTTTGTTGCTCCAATACAAAACCCTATACTGAAGGGCAATTTCTAGTTCTAGGAAAAAAAATTTGAAAATTTTTAATTTTAAAAGATATGCAAAAAGCATACTCATTAGAACACTATGGTCAAAATTATGTTTTTAAAGATATGTAAATCATTCAATCTTACTCAACAGGAAAAAAACTAAAAAAAATAATAAATATGCAGATCAAAGACTAAAAGGAAAAAATAAATATCCACAGGTTATGCATTGCTTTTTTTGGCTGGTGGTATTGCACTGACTCTTTTCCCATACATTTTCTCTAAGGCTATGATTCAGTAGTATTATCTTTTATGATTCTCAAAAAAGGAATAGTAGGCATACATTTTCTAGAGCTACATGCTAGAACTCATACTAAAAAGTAAAAACAGAAATATAAGATGACACTTTTCTAATGCCCACATTTTTTATTAAGTGTTTTTCAAAGAAATAAAATAACAATTTTTTAAAAAAAGATTTGCTCAAACTTACTAAACTGGTTGAAAAGCCACAGCTGCATCTTACTTTAAGACAAATGGACTGTTTCATCACCATTTCATCTGGGCATCTACTTCTTAATGGCCATTCCTGAAATAAAGGTACAGTTATTAAGAACGTGACTCCAGTTGGGTGCTGTTGGCTCACGCCTGTAATCCCAAACTTCTCGGGAGGCAGAGATCAGGAGGACCACAGTTCAAGGCCAGCCCAGGCAAACAGTTCACAAGACCCAATCTCCAACATAACCACAGCAAAATAGACTGGAGGTGTGGCTCAGGTGATAGAGCATCTGCTTTGCAAGAGCAAAGTGCTTAATTCAAACCCAGTCCCAGTCTCACCAAAAAAAAGAAAAAAAGAACGTATTTCAAATATATTATACAACAACAAAAATAACATAAAATCTTTAAGGACAATTACCTAAATTATAGTGACCAAAGAGAACTATGAAAACAGTTCTTGAGCAGTTCCCTAACAAAAACCATTATTAGCCAGTCCAAGTGATATGAATGGGATAGAAAACTGGCTACTGTCCCAACAGAACCAGAATACTTCAGTCCTCAATGCCTTTCACCTAGCTGGTCCATACAATTCCTGCATGCAATTTACAAACTGAAACTAGATAAGAAGATGCACATTTTGAACACAATAAAGTAACTGCTTTTTAATTTTCATTCTGCTTGCTTATTGCCTATTGCCCATTATGCCTACCAGAAGGAGATTTTTTTCAGTTTTATTTAAATTCACATTCATATGCTATCTAAGGTTTTTTGTTTGGTTGGTTGGTTTTTGGCGGTACTGGGGCTTGAACTCAAGGTCTCATGCTTACTAGGCTTGCTAGCAGGCACTCTACTACTTGAGCCACTCTGCCAGTCCATATTCACATTCATATTCTAAAACATCTTTTACGAACCTAAAACAACCAATGCCATTCTCTGGTGTGGATGAGTTACTTAGCATTAATTTTCATCAATGATGAAAAATTTTAGGCATTTTAAAATAGGAAAATCTCAAAATGCCATTTCTTTCACAGTAACACTGCTAATGTTAATGTCAACTACATCATTATTATAGTTTTCCTCCCAATTAAAAAAAAGGCACAATTAAAAGACAATAAAGATATGGTCCCAAACTATGGGACCAGAGCAAAAGCATGCATTACCGCCTACACCACGTTAAAGAATACTAGAGGGAGAATTGCTAGAGATACAATTTTGCCAAATACTGGCAAATGGGGTGCTTGGTGGTCTTTTTTAAACATGCATGTTCTTTGAGGTACTTATGGAGACAGCTAGGAATATAAGAGGAAATATTTTGTAAGGAGTGAAAAGATGCAACTGACAGGTCTCAAAAATAACCCCCCGGAGTTCCCTACTTCTCATCTGATAGATGAACAGTATTTTACAAAACATTATTCTTTTTGTAAAAAATTTAAGAGCCAAAATCATTTTTAAATGATTATCTATGGAGAAAGAAAATAGGATGAAGGGACACAGATGAAAGGTAAACTTCTGAGATAACTTTTTTTACAGATTATTTAATCTTTCCTTCTTTCTTTCTTAAGACAAGGTCTTACTATGTAGCCTGGGCTGGCCTCAAACTCACAATCCTCCTGCCTCAGCCTCGTAAGTGCTGGAATTAAAAATGTGCCTCCACACCTAGCTTTACAGACACATTTTAAGGTAAAATATGAAATAAATACATAAGAAAAAAATCTGTAAAAATAAGAAACTGCAACAAATGAACCACACTATATAATAACATAGGTGGCATAACCTCACATAGAATTAGCTCAAGGTTCTTGTAAAACATTTTAACAACAAATCCACGGCAGAATTATCCAAAAGGGGAGACCCTCCCCCTCCCAAAAAAAAACTATATTCAGTAAACTTCTTACTATAAATGCTTGCAAACAGGTAATATTTGTCATGAGGAAGATTCAAATCTAAAATAACAGAATTAATTGGAATATCAATAGAGAGTCATGATTCATTTAATCTCATAAATACCCATTCCTTGCTCTTTCCCTCAAAAAAGCCTTGAAGCAATTATTACCCAGTCACGAACCACAATCCTAATATTAGACTAAGGTTTCTAAATACCATTTCATAAATGTAAAAATGATAAAATAAAAGAAAAAATTAAAAAAATACCTTTCATAAGTGACTAAGACTCTTGTGCAAAGACTACCACAGTTACAGAAAAAAATGACCAACATCTTCAAACTGTTTTCAGCAAATTCATGTCTCATGAATGGCCCTTTAATAAATCCATGTATCAAAGTACTCAATACAAGCTGTCTTATTTAGTCCACTTAGTTACACATTAAGATAATCCAATGTGGAAGGTGGAGATAGGAAACACAATGTGAGATCAGCCTAGGCAAAAAAAAAGTTTGGAGTCCCTACCTCAAACAAGAAGGGTATGGTGGTACATAGCTATAATCCAGCTACACAGATAGTAGAGGTAGGAGATATTGCAGTTCAAGGCCAGCCCCAGGCAAAAGTGAAAGATTCTATGTGAAAAGTAACTAAAGCAAAAGCAAAAAGTAGCTCAAGTGGCAGAGCACTTGCCTAGCAATCACAAGGCCAAGTTCAAACCTTTGTACCAACACACACACACACACACACACACACACACACACACACACACACACAAAAGATAACCCAAATGTGTTCAAAGGCCCTCCCTAACATGTACCTTCTTCATTATATAACAACAATTTGCTTAACATTCTATACTGAAATGTCACATAGGGAAAAAAAAATGCTAGGAAGAACAAAAAGGACATATGAGAATACACCAGGCCAGATTTTGGAGAGTATATAAAAACCTGTGAAATCATTTTTATATTTTACAGGTAAAGTAATGAAGCAACTTATGAGCAAGAAAAATTATAAACTTCACATTATCAATGGTTATTTTCTCTAGGAATTACCCATTCCAATAAATCTTTAATAGACAACTTAAGCTTACTACATGCATAACATATATAGTATTACAAATAAATCAGAACAGATTGCCATGACAGAGTTAAATGAATGCATGAATTCTGAGGAAAGTACATAAGAAATCAGATTTCAAAAGAAGCAACCAGAACCCTTGGTGCTACTGTGCAGGACAGTGTGGGCTGGATGGATAGCTGCTCTGGTCCAGTGTGGCATTTCTTATATCGATTATTAGTTAAATTTACTATTAGTTAACGCTCTAAAATAAGAAATTGTATATCTAACACCCTATTTTCAACCTGGTGGTTTGATGGAAGGACTACTGCTCATTTGAGTCTTGCTGGTTTACTACACTAGTTTGTACAACATGCATAAATTTCAAAACAAAGTAGTGGAATTGAAGATGCTGTAACACCAATAACATATATACAAAATATATTTATTATACAGCTTCCATTGGACCACAAACAAAAAAAATCATAAAGAAATAAGAGTTCTCAGATGAAATTTATATCCTAGGAAACATGGGATGAGGGTTAGAACAAACAGTATAGCATACTCAATACTGAAAACTCAGTACTTAAAGAGAACAAGTCACTTAATTTCATGGACGTTTTCCTCACACCAGCATTTTTCTAACACACACTTGCATGTAGGCAGTCTACTGTGTGTATATAAAGGAGGGTACTCAATGTACTTAATTTTACAAAAATATAGTTACCTATTTCATTCCAAAGGCACAAGTGAATAAAATAATATTATTATAAAGTGCTGCTTTTGTAGCAGACAAGAGTCTGAAAAACAGACTTGTACTAAACAGTAATTAATAAGAACTGTGGCTTAAGAAGAAATACTCTAGCTTGTTTGACATTGTAGAAAGTATGGGAGTTCATCTTTATGATTTTTCTCCATCAGACAAAACTGGACACTTCCCAAGTTAAATATTAGCTCCTGTTTATTACTTCTAGGTATTGTACAATTTTTAGCTTTAAATTAGAAATGCCTAAGTCAACTTAAAATTTAAACTGGTAGAGAAGCTTAAGACTTACTGTTTAGTCTAGGGAAAGCATTGACTCAAACTTAATAAAAAGACCTCAATAACTTTTCTAAAGCAGGAGAGTTTTGTTGTTTTCAAACCTACCAATACAAGTAGCAAAAAATATCTGAAAATGCTGCTTGTAGGGTGTGAACCTGTGTGTCCCCTTCTTTTCCTATACATTTGTTTCTGACTCTCCCTCTCCAACTCTGTAGGGGGTGGGGGGTGGGATCTATGTTGTTTGTCCCTTAGTCTTGGCTAGTCTATCTCCCCTCTCCTTCACATCTGCCTGTCTCTCTTATGCAGTGACTCAGTTCTCAGCACTGATTTTCACAAAGAAAGCATTTATCAGGTTGCAACCTGAGGCAAAATGAATTATAAAAATGGCCACAAAATCAGAAAGAGAATCAGAAATTGGGCTAGGGATGTTGCTCAGAGGCAGAGGGCTTTCCTAGGATGTGTCAGGCCCTGGGTTTGACCTTAAGCACCCAAATGTGCTTTTAAGCCCAAAAGGGGGCTTAAAAAAAAAAAAAAACTACAGAAATTGTTTAATAATTGGCTGAAACCAAAGTGACTGAAAGCCACAAACCTTCAACTTTCTTTCAAAGAGTCAGTTCAATACAGTGGTGTGAGCACAGGCTTCAGAGTCACAGCTCTGAATTTGTGTCCCAATTGTGCTATGACTGTTACCTTCTTTCCTACTATTTCATCTCTAAAACGAAGCTAATAAAGTTGTTATGAGGATGACACAGATAATGCTTGTAAAACATTTAGCATGGTGCCTGGGACATAGTAAGGACTAAACATCTAAAACATCAAGATCAGCGAGGCTTTATCATTCTTTTTGCCTGCCTGAATTTTCCCCACCTCATTATTTCAGAAGGTCAAAACACACTTTTCCACATTTTAACTTTGAGAATTTTACCCATCTTATGATTTCAGACGGTTAAACACTTTCCTGCATTTCCTATATATCTGTGACATTTAACACATCTAACTCACAAGGAAGGGCAACAAGTGAGCTGGATAGTGGGGAGTAGAAGGAACTTGCTCTCACTAATGTTGAAATAACTGCAACAAGGTCAAGTCTGGGGCAGAGGTGGCAGCAT